AGATAGCGCTAACGATCAATTCTTATTTTATTTTTACCTTCCTAATAATATAATATAATAATACCTTCCTTTTTTCCTTTATGTTAGTTATAATATTCTGCTGAAATGGCATTGATTTTTATTATATTTTTCTTTTTCTCTTTATTAATAATAATTATTTGTTTTCGTTATCTAATTTATTTTTGCATAACCATAGATGAAATATGGAATATAATTAAATATATCATATCTTTTTCAAAACTACAATATGTTTTTCGTATTACATACAATCTTTGACGTAAAAAGTACAGATATTCTCAATTTTAATTACAATGTACTTCAAAAAGAATGATCTTGTAAAATATAACACATAAAAGTATCTTTATAATTAAATAGTTTAATATTAGTTCTTTTAAAATACAGACTAGATTAAAAAACACAAACTAGAAGAATATTAAATCTCAAAAAATATAAAAATTAAAAATTAATTAATTTTTCTTTTTTAATATATACTTATTATATGATAATTAATATTGGTTAATATCAATTTAATAATAATTACTGTTAAAAAAATTTGAGGAATTTTATTAACTTAAATCTTTTTTTCTCATTGTTATTTCGTCAAATAATATTAGACTTGTGATTGATTCTTTTATAAATTATTTTAAAATGTATATTTGTTCGTTTTAATATTTTCTGTTAGAATAAATACTTGGAGTTTCGCAAAATCAAATTCTGCGTTCTGTTGGTAACGATGCGAATGATATAAAAATGAAAATGGGATTCTAAAATCTTATAAATTCGGATCACAAAAATACATTGCATGATTAATCTATTTTTATATCTAATCTGTGGTATTGTTTTGCATTGTTTGTTGCATTATTATATACAAAATTTATAATATCATTTTTTACTTTATTGTTTCTTTATCATTTATAGATAATTATTATAACCATTTTATCAACGAATAAAAATAAATGATGCAAGAAGAGTTTGGTTTGAGATATTAAGCTGATACAAAAATATATTAAGTGTATTTATATCATTATTTATAACTTTAATTTTATGGTTATATTTTTATCATGGTTATAATTTAATTTTAAACAAAAAATAAACTCAATTATTCTAAAAAATATAATTAATGTTATATTTTAAATAAGTATATGAAAATATTTTAACAAAGAGTGAGTATATTTGAAATAAAATTTAATGCTAAAAAATGTGTAAAAATGTGTAAAAATATTATCGAAATTTAAGTAATTATGATAGTAAATTGTATCGACATAGTTCTCTTTAATAATAAAAGATAAATATGTATTATTATAAATAAAATAAAATTTAGGACACAGAAATTTTTAATAAAAATGAATGTTCAAAAACGAAAAAAAAATTATTTTCATAATCATGGAAATAATAAAAAAAAACGCAAACAATTTAATTTGGAACCAGGTATGAAGGGTTTTTTATGCACATGTAATTTCTCTGAAAAAGAATGTGTACGTGATGCTTATAAAATACTTAATGAATTTGCTGATGAGATTTATGGACTAGATTCTATAAAGGTATAGTGGAATTCAACAATAATATAAATACATATAAAAATATAAATCTATTAAATTTTTTTTAATTTAAGGATTCTGACAATGAGAATGTTAAAGTTTCTGATATAAAAAAAGATGAAACAAAATACAACGATAATGAAGATGATATTTCAGTTGTTTTAAATAAAGAAATTAATGAATTAAAAGCAGAATATTCAAAACCAATAAATGCCAGAAGATTTCAGGTAAATTTTTTACATATATTTTTATTTCTCTTTAAAATTTGAAATGCTTATAATTTTTCTATCAGGTAATTGACACTGGTGTTAAAAATATAGTTTTTATAAGGAGTTCCTTGACAAATCCATTAGAATTAGTTACTAAAATTATTACTGAATTATATAATACAAAACAGCAACGTACAAGATATTTGTTAAGATTACTTCCAATTGAAGTTATTTGTAAAGCAAATATGAATGATATCAAATCAAAAGCAGATGCAATGCTTGAAAAATATTTTGCACAGGAACCAAAAACATTTAGTATTGTATTTAAGTATGTTTTTTAATATATAAATTATTTATAACTTTATTATGTCTTTAACATAAATGTACAGTAGTTTAATTTTATTACAGTCGGCATAGTAATAATAATATATATAGAGATGAAGTCATTGAAGACTTAGCAGAAATAATAAACAAAAAGAATCCTGGAAATAAAGCAGATTTAAAAAATCCAGAACTTGCTGTAATAGTTGAAATGGTACGTGGTGTTTGTCTTATGTCCGTTGCTCCCAATTATTATAAATTCAAAAAGTATAATTTGTTAGAAATATGTAATACAAAAGAACCCATAAAATAGAAAAAGAAAAAGAAAAAGAAAATTTGAAGAAATATGTATTACAGAAGACAAAAATTTAATAAGAAAAATAAATTTATGGTAACAAAGATCCAAATAATTGATGTAAATTAAAATAATATTATCTTTTAAATTTACTATTTAGTAACAAATAAAAATAAAATACTACATTATATGTATTAATGATATTATGTATAATTTTTAAAATTTGATTAATGTTTTATAATTTATATTTTATGTAAATTAGAAAATCATAATATAAATATTTATAATATAATATGCAATTAATATATTGATGAACATTTTTATTCTTAAATTTTTCACTTTTTACGATGAAATCTATATTGAACGAAAATTATTGAAAATAAAAAAAGTATTTATAATATTTTAATTTAAAAATTATGCTTTATATTGATGTATAAATATTTTATATTAAAATTATTTTTACAAGGTCTCATGGTGTAATGGTTAGCACTCTGGACTCTGAATCCAGCGATCCGAGTTCAAATCTCGGTGGGACCTTTGGTTTTTTTTTTATATTAATATTTATAATATATTATATTAATGATTAATGATTTAAAAAATTACTGCATTTATTTTTTTATACATTAAAAATTCTTATATATTATATTTATTATAATAATAAATATTACAAATATTAGAATAAAAATATTTATATAAAAATAATATAAATATTAAATTAGAAAAACTTATAATTAAATTATATATTTTTTTTTTTTACAATAATCAGATTCAAACAAAAATAATATAATTTGATATATGGGTATAAGATGCAAAAGCGTTTTAAAAAAGAACATACTTATTGACGCATTTTCAACAATTAAATTCCTCTCTATTTCGTGTTTAAAGACATTAGCTTTATGAAGTAATGTTGTAAGTATTTGATATCATTGTTTTAAAATTGTTACTTAAATAAATATTATATTGATATATTAAATAAATATTATATCAGTATATTAAATATATATAATTAAAAATAAAATACGAATATGTCAACACGAAAAAATGTTCAAGCTGGATTTCAACCGGTAAGTTTGAATACAAACTTTTTTATTTATGTAATATATAACAAACATTTAAATTTAACCTATTTTGCATTACAGGATTCCGATGTTTATATTACATACGAAGATCAACAAAAAATTAATAAATTTGCAAGGCAAAATGCTAAAATGGATGACTTAAAAGAAGAATCAAAAATTAAACAAGTATTAATGAATTTAATGTTATTTTGTTCCACTTATAACCTTATTTGGATATGTATAATTTTACATACATATATTGATACATATTTTACAGAATGAATTAAAGAATTTAGAAGATGCATGTGATGAAATATCTCTTTTAGATGAAGATGCAAAAATTCCATATCACATTGGTGAAGTTTTTATTTATGAAGATTTAGAAAAGACACAGGTATAAAATTTAATAATAAATGTTATATATATTCTGAAATAATATAAAGTAATATAATTTATACATTTTTCTTTATTTTTGTTATTTTTCTAGAATTACTTAGATGAGATTAAAGAGAAGAAAAAAAAGGAAATCTCAAATTTGGAAAGTAAATGTATTGATTTGAAAAATGTTATAACTGACTTAAAAACAAAATTATATGCAAAGTTTGGTAGCCGTATAAATTTAGAAGCAGAAGAGGATTAATTTAGTCAAATATTCATATAATGCTTTTTATAATATGAAATAAAATTTTAATATTATTATTGTCTCATGTCTTCTAATGCGTATAATATATCTAGATTTATATACTTCTTGCTCGCCATATATATATGGAAATCATATGTATCCACATGTTAATTAATTGTTATTGTATAATAAACAACTAATAAATTAATTATAATTTTTCATATTATTTCTATCTTTTTAAAATATTAATTCCATATTATAATATATTAATTATTAATTATATTATTTATAACATTCATAACTCCTAAACTGAAAAAATATATAAATTGATTTTACAAATTATATTATATTTTCAACTACTATTTATACAAATATCAACATTCATATACAAATACATATATTTATTTAATTAAAGATTATATTTTAATTTCAACATTCTACTAACTTTACATTTGGATTAATGCCAAATTGTTTTCATTATGAAACGCTCATGTAACATGACTGAAAAACTAATATTTAACATTTATATTCAATAAACAATTATAAATTTTGAGTTTTTTCATAGTGTTTTCTATTATTATATAATGTTTTGATTATTCTATTTATAAATATTTCTACAAATAATGTTTATAATATAAATATATTAACATTAATATAAAATCATATATTAAAATAATATAATTAATAATATGAATAAAAGATTTAAAATACAATAAACATATCATAAAATATTTGTTTTTTTGAATAATTTAATTTTTTCAAATTTTTACGTTCTTTTAAAAGATAAAAATGATGAAAAGATTGAAATAATCTATATATGAAATATAAAAGATAAAAAGTATGTCTGTAATTAGTCTATGATTTATTTAATTCAACAAATCATATAGAATCTGGTTATATAGTCATATAGTTTCTGCTTCCCTCTATCAACTTACTTGAGATAATTTTAGTTTCACCTTTCAGTTTTACTTTAGCCAGTTACTTAGTTAACTACAGTTCATTCTTATCTACTATACAAGAAGTATATGAATAATCAAGTGTTTTTAAAATTTTTTTTAATTAAAACATTCAATACATTCATTCATTCTTATATAAAAAAATATATAAAATGTACTTATTATATTTATATTTTATTTATATATTTAATTAGTTTAATGAAACGTTTAAAATATTTTTAAATGTTACACACACACACATATATATATATATATATATATATATATATATATATATAA